TTGACAAGTTTTTTCTTAACAATCATCAATATTTATCTTTTCATTCCTTTTCTAAGTGAACATCCTTGATTATTTATAAACTCTTAAAATTTCTCTCGGTATGAGGGATGATCCTAGTGTAGGTCATTATCGAAAGAAATATTTTAGGCTTAGAGTTGGACAACAAGGGATAAGCTTTTGGTCGTGAAAGGGTACATAAAAAATAGTCTTTCTTCATCTTAAATCTGATTTTATTTAAGTCGATAGGCTCTAATATCTTTTGAAAATAATGGTTAACTTATAGAGAAAAAGTGGTAGGTTAGGTCTGAATCATGACCCGAATGTATATCATTCATTATTATTTAAAATAAAAAACCTTTTGGTTTTCTATCTTGAGGATCGATGCATTATCCTAGGTAAGATTGTTCTTAAAGAGTTTATTAGGAATACAAAAAAGTATTTTTGGTTTCAAAAAGAAGGAATACCCCCTAGCATTTACACAACATGTTTTAAAAATTAATCAATATTAAAAGGTTTTGAATGAATTTTTCATTTTATTCATTTTGATTTGGATGATATAACATGACAAATGATACTTTTAAATAAATATCTCTTGATTTCAAATCAATAAAACATTCAAAGAGAGTAAAGGTTTCCTTTTTATTTAAAGAAATGACTAAATCAATGAAAATCACAATACCTTTTTTTTTTTTGAAATAAAATCTAAAGATTTGATAAAAGATAGGATCTCATTCATAAAATCAAGACATATGTTTGCTTCTTTGATGAGCTCCATGTACTCTCCTTATATTCATCCTCATGCACACTCTCATAAGGTGTTTGAAGAGATCACTTAGTGAAATAAGTAAATGAGGCAACGACACTCTATATTTCTCATGACTTGATTTTTGTTGATTTTCTTGATTGAAAGACCTTTATTGGTTATTAAATGGATGAGAGATTTATGTCTAGGGTGTTGAGGAAAAGATTGTAATTAAAATTATGGAAAATTTGGCATTCAAGTAGTCAAACCAACAATGTTTGTAGAGGTTGTGCTCACGGACATCGAAATTATCAAGCCAAGTTGATTACATTATTTTGTGAAGGTGACAATTTGTTAGGCTTCAAAGAATTATTCAAAACATTTCCTTCAATAGCTTTGAGATGCTCTTCAATGGGATTAAACTTCTTAGTTTCTATTTCGGAGACTATTTTTTCATTTATCTTTCAATCAATAACCAAATCAATTATAAGAATGGCATGAGCTTACAAAGTACGTAGCTTTGATAAGACTAGGCTTGGCCCCGAAACCTTAGGAAGAGTTAGCCCATACATACCCTTAGGTATAGTACGGCTAGTTAGATTTATAACACTAAAAGCCTCTTAGTGGGAAATGAAGTAAGATAACACAAAAAATCCCACTTGAGTAGTAGATATTGGTATAGTAGTGAGCGAACTTTAAGATAATAAACAACCAACGTAATTTAGCATGTGTACGAGTTTGCTAACTTTAATCAAGTAAATTAGCTAGCTTAGACACTTTTTCTTTCAAAACATTTAACTATTTCGATGGTTTTACTTAGGTTGAACTTTTTGTTCATTGTCCATTTTTTGTTTTGGTCTTATGTTGTCCAATCTCGAGGGTGGGAGAGGGGATAGAGTAGTTTTGATAGTATGACTTATATGTCTCTACATAAATAGAAAAATCATGAAACATGATAATATAAATAACATATCTATATATATAAAAACACTTGAGACTTGATATGGAACAACCATTTGTGGGGAGTGAAAAAAAAGTTCATTTTCTTTTTATTCCTTTACCTATAAGATTGCTCGTAGTGGGTTTAAAGATTTGATGAACAACATTAGTAACCTTTTTATTGATTTGAAATTAGGATAATTATTCTCATTATAAACTAGTTTGCATTGTTATGAACTCTTTTTCCACTTTATTTTAGTGTAACCATCAAGTAGCATTACACAATTTTAGATCGTGTCATGATCTATTGACATATAAGAGGTTAAAGCTTTTGTAGAGATTTTTGCTGACAAATTGTTGACAAGGAATCAAGGGATTTGTTACTTGCCTTGATTGATATATTCATTCCATCTTAAGGTGATCATATAATCGTCAAACATCTTTTTTAGGAAAAAATCCGAAGTCATCATTGAGCAAAATTTACAAAATGTACATAAAATTTGATTTATTGATAATATTTGTGCTTCGGGAAAAACATGTATGCAAATTTGATTCATACAATGACTTTTCTACACTAATCCTCACACTCTAAGGACTTTGCCACGTCGAGCTATTTTTGCTAGTAAATAATCACAACCTTTCATGTATGATGAAATGAATTTAACTTTAAAATTATAGTCTCTATTGTTGATGTATTATTTCCAATCACACAAAATGTTGGCTTTCTTAATCACTACCATGATTTAAGCCTCTAATTTCTCTAGGCTAAGTCAGTATGCCTTGCTTACTTAGACCAAATAATGGTTAGTGCTTCCCTAGTATATAGATTGTCTTTGATAATACTCTAATAACACCTTTTTCTCTCTTTCCACTTTGACCATCTTCTTTTCGGTGACAAAGAGTTATTATTTAGATTCATCATAATCCTTGAGTTGTTCCTTGACTTCATTAAATTCTTTTAGCATCCCTCTTAAGATTTCTTCCAAAATTTTTTTTTTATTAGAGTTCATCTCTTTGTTTTTAGCAAATGCGTAACTCATGTAGAGCTTGCTCATTTTGGGACTTTAAATTGCTACGATGAATTGCTTTTTTTTTTCTTTTTTTTTTTTATAGCTTTAGGTTGATACTATGAATTTCTCTAACCATTTTTTTAAGGCTAAGTCTTGCATATTCATTTCTAATTTCTAATTTTTATCTTCAGTTAACTTTTTAATCTCTTTGACTTAGTTAGGTCATTAACGACTTTTATTTCTCAACTCTTAGTTGCTCAAGTTCCTTTTTCATTGCATCTTCTTTTTTTTTTTTTCTAAAAAAACATTTTCTAACTCATTGTTTACTCTTATTTTCCTTCCTTACGACAAAGATGATCTAAATTCTAATAACACTTAAGGATTCTCAAAGTCAAGAAGAATAATTTCTTTTTAATTAGCAAGTGGGTTGGATGATGTGATTTCATGAACTCGAAATTTAATTGCTTGACATTCATAATCCTTCACTCTTATGGATTTCGATTGTGGATATATGGCTACCTCTCAACCATCTATCTTTTGACCCATCATTACACACATTAGCCCATTTTTTTAGAGGTATTTAGGTATTGAGGTGAAGCAAAATTTTTCAAGACTCCCTCAAAGTGAGTTAAGTTAATTTGCTTGGAATGCATTACTCATAGCCCAGATTGTCTAGATACCATACTAGGTGCATAGCTAATATACCCAGTTGCTCCAATAATAAGATCTCAAGGACACATTACAATGAGCCAAATATAAGGCTTGATTCATCCGCTTAACTTTTCATTAAAAAAAGCGTTGAAGCAGCTCAAGAAACAAAGAAGCCCATTCTTGTTTGAAGTAATTATTCCATACTCTGCGGCCATAAACTCTCTTAAAGGTTCTTGGTCTTTCTATTAGATGGATTTAAATATTGATTTATATGCTTCCATATGAATAATAATTCATATATATAATAGTTGCACACAAACCATTTCCAACACATCAACTTTGGTTCAATGATAGAATGGTTTTGATAAGAACAATAACAATAGGCTTATCCGAGTTTTTTTTTTTTTTGTCTCAATGGAGACATTGGTTGCATCTAAACTAAATATCCCAATGGTGATGGAAATAAAATCAATCAAGAAAAGCATAATGGTAGAACTTGTAACTTCTTTGAACTAGATTTAGAATTTTTTTAAAATTCTTTTAAACACGTCAAACAAGGCTTCAAAATGCCAACCTCAATAGTAGCAATAACTTGTGTTCGGCTTATATATTTACCAAGTCAGTCTTAAAGTCTCCTAACCACATTGTCATATCGATGACAAAGATATACCGGGTATAGAGAATTTGGCATTTTAAACCATTGATGATACTCCTTTAGGGTAGGAGTCATGCCAATGTGTTTAATAGTAAAATATTGATTTAACTAGTCCCACCATAAAATTAATCTTCCTAGCATTGGTTTTTAGATCGATATCTCCAAGAATATGGCAAAATTACCATATTTATTTTTGAACCTTTTTCTATCATTTAAAATTATGAGCCCTTACCATTTATAAGAGCTTGTTGGAATCATTGAAAATTGCCCGAAAGCAAGTTAGGGCCCAAAAGTTACTTTGAAACTTGTCTTATAGATTGTCTTCTTCTACACATTGAAGAACTTTAGATTGTTACTATCTTAAAATACATTTGAACTCTTTTGTCACTTATCTTAGAACATCATGAACAAGTTGTCTCGGTTAAAGTTTCAAACACATTTGACTTTGCCATTATTCTTAATAAGAGAAGATGATTCTATAGTCCGATTCTAGCCATTACATGAATAGATAAGATCTATCTAAATCTTAATAGGGTATATTCCAACCCAATGAAGCTTAATAGAATAATTTAGGACTAACCATGATAATAATAACAATCATGGAGACTATTGATTACCCATCACACAATGGCAAATTGCAAGAAAACTTGAGGTTTTGTGAGTGTTTACTTGGGGTGAAAACTATTAGAGCACCACTACTAACTCAATAAAATTCTTAAGCAAATGCATACGATATTATGATGATACAATGGTATGTGTAGGAGAATGACTCTATAACATGTCTAAAAAATTTAAGATTAAAGACTATAAATAGAAAAGGTTGCAAGGGAAGGCAAAAAAAAAAAAAAAATGTATATTCACATCACACATTCATGCAATTAAAAGAAAAATTCTCTAAAAAATTAATCATTTTGGCATAGAAACATAACATATAACTAATATTTTATTCACACATACAAGTCGAAGCTTAATCATAGTACTATCAAAATTATTGAATTATTACGGGGCATACAGCGGCATCGGGTGGTGGGGGCTTCGCTTGGTGAGGATTCTCTTAGGAAGGATGGGGAATTAAGAGATAGAGTCACCACCTAGTATTAAGAAAACTAAAAAACCTGAAAAAATAACTACTCTACATAGATATCTAGGTAAGGGGTTAGTTACTAGTGCAAAAGATTGCTACCATCATATCTAACCCGAGGTCGACTACGTTATTCATTATATGCATATAAAAATTTTTTAAAAAATCTAGTCAATACCTATTATAAGTCTATGCCTATTTGAGTGAGTTCATTTTATTAAGACAATCAAGTAGTTTGGGACATAGGCCGATCAAAGGCCTATTTCTATACTCTAAAATAAAAGAGAGAATTTAAGAAATAATGAGCTCCTAATGACTACAGCTTGTAATCATAAATTTGTTAAGTAATTTAGGATATAAGTTGATCAAAAGTTTATTTCCATACCCTAAAATAAAAAAGAGAAAATGAGAATTGGCGAGCTCCTAACCGTTGTAGCTTGTAAGACCTAAAGTTTTGACGAGTAACTAGGGATATAGGCTGGTCAAATTCCTATTTCCTTACTCTAAGATAAAAGAAAAAAATATTAAGAAATTGGCAAATAGCTAATGGTTGTATCTATAAATGTAAAATCAAGTGAGTTCCTAACTAGTACATCCTATAAGAATAAGAATTCGACTAGTTCTTAATGACTACATCCTTAAAACATAAAGTATGACAAATTTGTAATGAGTGTAGCCCATAAACATAAAATTTGGTAAGTTCCTAATGATCGTGGCCTATAAACATAAGGATTTGGTGAGTTCTTAATGATCTGCAGACTCCAAACCATAAAGTCCGGAAAGTCCCTAATGACTCGTAGCCCATAAACATAAAGATTTAATGAGTTTTTAATGATTATAGCCCATAAATACCAAATTTGGTGAGTCCTTAATGGATGCATCCCATAAACATGATGATTTAGTGAGTCTCTAATGACTACAACCGAGTAAGCACAAAGTTTTATTGTCACATTTAGTCATATGTAAATATGGTGTTAGCTCTTGAAGAACCAAACCTTCAATGTTAACCTATATCTTAAATTCTCATTTTCTCTTAATGGCACAAAGTTTTCTCTAATCATTGCCCTCTCATCCTGTCCTTTAAAGAGAGAAGAACCAAACCTTCTATGTTTACTTTCAAACAAATATGGACTCACCATGAAGGTTTTTTATAGCACTAGTGTTATCATGATACTACAAATGCTCTAACTAATTTTAGCTAAATCTTAAAGTCCTTCATCAAACACTTTATACCTAGAACTAGAAAGTATATGGAAACATCTAAAGATGTGTATATGAGGCTGAGGATGAGGTTACTTGTAAGGAAGCAAAACTTCTTATCATTGGCACGGAAGATGTGGTTCGGAGCTTGGTGGCGGCGAAGGCCAAGTCTGTCTTTTTGGTTATACAAGAAGAAATTTTTCTATAAATGAAGGTAAGAATTAGGTGGCTTAAAGAAGAGGATAGAAACTAGTCATTTTTCCATGCAAGTGTTAGATTGCATCAGCAATATAGTAATATCACTTTGAAAATTAATGGAGTAACTTGCATAAATGATGTAACATTAGGCAATAGTGTAGTCTCTTATTTTCGGGATCTATTAAAACCTAGACTAGTGGCTCCACTAGATGAGCTTCTTAAAGTTGTTCCTATACTAGTTACTATAGAACAAAATCGTATGCTATTAGAGGACCCATCTCGCCTTAAAAATAAAACTAGTATTTGATATTAATACATCAAGTGACCTAGGACCCTAAATAGGACTTGATTGGTTATTCCTTGATTCATGCAATTTAGGATGTGTTTAATGATGGTGTCATTTTGAAAGCTTTAATGATAACATGTGTGGTTTTTATACCAAAATGTAAGAATCCTTCATCTTAGAATGATTTAAGACCTATAAGTCTCTGTAATATCTCCTTCAAGATAATTTCTAGGATTTTAATACAAAGGCTTAGCATAGTTTTACCTTTCATTATCTCGGAGGAACAATACGATTTTGTAAAAGGGACATTAATTTAAAAAAATTTAACCTTAGCTCATGAGCGAGTTTTAGGAGATTAATCAAAAAAGGTGCGAGAGGGAATGTGGTTTGGAAAGTGGATATGATAAAGGCTTATTAAAATCTAGACTAGTGGCTCCACTAGATGAGCTTCTTAAATTTTTTCCCATACTAGTTATTGTAGAACAAAATCGTATGCTATTAGAGGTCCCATCTCGTCTCAAAAATAAAATTAGTATTTGATAATAATCGGTCAAGTGACCCGGGACCTCGATTAGGACTTGATTGGTGATTCCTTGATTCATGCAATTTAGGATGTGTTTAATGATGGTGTCATTTTGAAAGCTTTAATGATAACATCTATGGTTTTTATAACAAAATGTAAGAATCCTTCATCTTAGAATGATTTGAGACCTATAAGTCTCCGTAATATCTCCTTCAAGATAATTTCTAGGATTTTAATACAAAGGCTTAGCATAGTTTTACCTTTCATTATCTTAGAGGAACAATATGATTTTGTAAAAGGGAGATTAATTCAAAAAAATTTAACCTTAGCTCATGAGCGAGCTTTAGGAGATTGATCAAAACATGTGCGAGAGGGAATGTGGTTTTTAAAATGGATATGGAAAATGCTTATGATCGGTTAGAATGATCATTCCTTCTCAAAACCATGCTAAAATTTGGTTTTTCTAAAGACTAGTGCTCTCTTATTCAACGTTGCTTGAAGAACAAATGGTATTCTATGGTGCTCGAGTGGTAGTTCTTTTGGTTTTTTCAAATTAGGAAGAGATGTTCATCAAGGGGACCCTCTTTCGTCGGCCTTTTTTCATTGTTGCTCTAGATGTTCTAGGAAAAAATCTGAACTTTGAAGTTGAGTTAGGTTGGATACTACCTTATTGTTTTAGTCGAACAACTATAATTATGAATCATGTATTTTTTATGGATGATATGTTGTGTTTTAGTAATGGTTCAAAACCTTTAGTGGACTAGTTAATGTGCACATTAAATAAATATTATGCATGTAGTGATCAATTAAATAACACTAGCAAAAGTGGATTTCTTTATAGCGACAAACTCCCATTGAATAGGATTTAGTTGTTATAAAGGTGGACTAGCTAGGGGCACGTAAAACCTCCCACAATTTAGTTAGGTATTCCTCTCTTCCGGGGGCATGGGAAATTATCTTACTTTCGATTACTAGAGGAGAAGATAAATAGTAAATTAGTAGGTTGGAAAGGTAAGCTTCTTTCTACAATATGTAAGCTTACATTGATTCGATCGATGCTCTCTTCTCTTCCAGTTTATACAATGATCTGTCATGCTAATTCCAAATAAGATAGTGATACACATCTAGAGTTGTATTACTAACTTTTTTCTAAAACAATGAGGGCGTCATCATTGGCTTAGTTGGGAGAAAATCTTAAAGCCTTATATAAAAAAGGGTCTCGGGGTGAAAGACTTACATGAGGTTATGTTATCCATGAAGGGTAAGCTAACGTGGACTTACCTTCAAGGTATAACTAATTCATCGGCCTTATATAGGGGAAGGGGTTCACTTGTTTGGAGACAAGTACTCGTCGCACATCTCCTTCCTCTAGGACAACACTAAGTGAATGATTGGTGAGGGCGGTATTTCTCTAGGAAGTTAGTGTCCGGATAACCTAGCCTTTTTTTATAGATATTCTAGTGAAGGAAGTGCTAGAGAACTCTTTCATTTTGGTATCACACACTCTCTCTCTATACAATGATCCATATGCTTTATATGTTTATTGCCAAACGAATTGGATAGACTAATCCTCACGCCATTTACAATTGGAGTTTACAAAACTTCTATCTTTCGACATGAGCTAAGGATGCTTGGCTTTAGGTTTGAATGATGGAAATACTTCTAGAATAGATAGATTCTAATTGAAATAACAGTATTATCCTAGAAAATAATGAATAATGGAGTGTCGATGGATAGAAATGTATAGAATTATGGTGTGTCTATGTCCTCTCGTTACCACTCGCCATAACAAACCATCGGTAGAGTTCGTTTCTCATATGTTCCTTTATAGCAACATTGTTACAAAAATTTAGAACTTTTTTAGCCATATCCTTAATGTTCCCACTCGTAAGCATTATCATGTAAGGCTTATTTGGTTAAGGGTTACATAAACCGACGCTCACTAACAAAAATAACTAGTCCACTAAAGGTTTTGTTGTATTTTCAAGAATTCTTCCCGTAGTTTTTCACGGGTTTAGACTTCCTTGTCCATCTAGTATGTTAGGATAGATAGGTCCGTCCCCCTCGTATCTTTCACATTTCATTTATGATATTCTAGTGGTACTATCCCTATTCCAAAAAATAAAAATAAAATAAAATGAATGACCTCTTTCTTCGAGTGAGAGAGAAAAGAGTTTTTATAGAAGTGATTGTTAGGGTTTTAAGTGAAAACCCCAATTGTTAGGGTTTTAAGTGAAAACCCCAACTTGCTTTTTTTCCCCTCAATTTCTTATCTCATCTCTTGATTTTCTCTTCAAACCCATTTTCATTTGGAATTATTTCAATTAGACCTCTAATTAGATTTTATTTGGTCATAATTCTTTATTTGTTTTAATTAGATCCCAAATCTTAATTTTTCCATTTATCCCCTTCATTTTTCTTTTTCATTTTCTTTTTATTAATTCTTCTAAACTCACAAAAATCATGAGATTCCTAAAAAATCCAAACCAAAAGGTAAGAATTCATAAAATAAAATAGGATAAAAAATTAGGTGAAAACAATTATAATTAATTAGTATTTATATAGATAATTAATTATTTATTAGTAAGTAAAATGGAACTTTTAATACCTTTTGAGAGTAGTTGTAATACCTTTTCATTTTCAGTGTAAATCTAATTGTTAGTAGCTGTTTTTTTTTTCTTTTAATGATTAGCCAACGTTAATTTTCCACTTATCTTTTTTATAATTTCCCAATTTCCTCTCTCTCTCTCTCTATATATTTCTTTTAATAAATTTTTAATCCTTTTCTATAGAAAGCTAATTGTTATTGGTAGTTGTATTAAATAATAGTTCAACTATAATATTTTTAATTTTTAATTTTATTTTAGTGAAATAATAATCATTTATATAATTTAAAAATAGAAAAAATATGTATTACAAATTTCCAAAATTTTATATAAAAAGTATTCAACTTTTGAATATGAAATTTTAATTTAATTCAATAAATAGTTGAATTGGTTCATTTTCTTAAAATTAAAATAATTTTGTACTTGCCGATTAAAAATATTCAATATATAATTGAATAATACTAGGGTGAAACAAGTAGGAAGAAAACTAGCGTGTATATATCTCCCAAAATAGGAATTTTTCCTTGTCCTTCCTAAGCTAGTCTCTTCTTTATCATTATTTATTTTGTAGCTTAGGAATGACAATGAAAAATCTCATCATGCCACTTTAACTATTCTGTCTACTGATGTAATCATGAAATGCATATGAAAATTCAAATCCAAAAAGTGTTAAATTTAAGTTTGATAGCGATATGTATATATATTATAATTTTTTTTTTTTTGGGGGTGGGGTTGGGGCTTGCTTGGTTTGATTATTTAAGGTACTCCACTTATTAGAAAAAGGTAGCAGCACCCAACGAATTGGTCTCCCAATTGCTATTGTGTTTGCCAGCAAAAGGACCATTGTGGGTATTTGGTACTTCACTAATCAGTATCCCATCCCATCAAATGCCACTCCATTTTCCATAACAAATTATTTATATTATCAAGGATAAGAACAGAAACACATGATTGCTAGTACGGACAAAGAGGTGTGATCATGTTAATTAAATCTTAAATGTCCCACAAATCCTTGTTTTAAACAAATCATCAAGCGATTGACAATTAGATAAAATATAACCCCAAAACAACTTTTTCAATACTTTGTGCTCTTGTGATTTAGCTGGGAGAGAGTGAGTTCTCAACTTGACATTTGGGTCCTGGGAAAGACCTTTATTTTTTGCATCTCTTCGCAAGTTCGGTGCTCGCCGTTTCCTTGCTCCAGGAATCAGCCCTTTGTTTTTGTTGCAATTACACTGCTACCATCATCTACTTTAATAATAATAATAATAATAATAATAATAATTTTTTTGTTCTTTTTTTCCTGAAAAAAATTATTTTTATTTTCGAATTTTCATTTTTTATAATTTGTTTTTTAGTTTTTTTTTTATCTCTAAATTTAAATTTAGACACGTTAAATTAAAAGCATGTCACATGTCCTAAATTTACCATGATTTATTGTTTGTTTAATCGAGAGAATATTGAGCTAGTAAAATATAATTGAAAGATGTAATAAACCAAACGAATAGTATAGAAAGAGATTGGTTTTTTATGGTCATTATTAAGTCTTTAGAGTCCTATTTTTTGCTATTATGTTTTCTATTTCTTTCTTTATTATCTAGCTTTTAGCTTTATTTTTTGTATTTAAATAGTTTTTCTGTAAATTGTTTTTTACAAGTTTAGGCAATCTTAACCTCTTAGTTTAGTGAGCTAAGCTGGTTTTATCCTTTTCTATAACTTTCCACATTTTATTTAATATACATCCATGGTACCATCCCTATTCCTAAAAAAAATATATAAATAGACTAAAGAAAATCGATATTGTACGAGGATAATTTGATGTTTTAATTTCAATTAGAAATATAAGAACATATTAGACATTTGTCTTATTATATATATATATATATATAAAAAAAATCAAGCTATTTATTATTTTTTAAAATAAATTGCAAAATAATATGAAATATGCTAAAAGATTAAGTTATAAATAGCTTCCAAATTATAAGAATTAATTATATAGTTTCTGAAATCACAAGGACCAATTAATTTGATTTTACTAAACTATAGGGATTAAGTTATTTTAACTCTTTGTTTTGCTTTGGACACATTGTAGTTTTGTCCGAACAGGTTGGACTTGATTCCTATGATTTAAAATATGTCAATGTTATCCTTATAATAATAATAATAATAATAATAACAATAATAATCATAATAATCCATTGTTATCGTTCACCATTGAATGATTTACCTTTTTAATCTTGTTTTTGAGTTTTTCGTAAAGACTTCCAAGTGTTCATGTGAGATATTATAACTTGTTCGAGGAATATTTGAGAGGAAAAATGTTAAAGAAAAATAAGAAAAAAGAATATGGAAAAAGCATGAATTTTATGTTATTTATGTCATAGTAATTGAAAGAATTGAAACTTTTTAAAAACTACAAGGGAAAATTCAAACTGTTGAACTATAAGATGGAACTGGAATATCTATGTATGTATATGAACTATACTAAGATATTATATAGATCCTATTCTTAATATAGATCCTATTCTTAATCTAATAGCCACTAACATCAAAGAGGCAAATCATTATAGTGGTTATATTTTTGTACCATTGAGTTTGCGATGATTTTTTGTTTTATGTTACACTACAAAAAAAGAAGGAATTGATCGTTGCTAATCCTAAAGAAACCATCACTAATATAATTTAGCGACGATCTAAAAATCATCCGTAAAATGCCGATCACTAAAATTTTGCGATGGTTTTTGGATCGTCGCTAATTTTGCAACGGACCAAACCGTTGCAAAAAAAAAAAAAAAATCATCGTTAAATATGGTAGTAAAACGAGGGAATATTTACGATAGGATAAAACCTCGTTAAGACCTTCACAATTTAGGAACGAAATTAGCGACAATTTTTATCCCGTCATAATATTTTTTAGGATTAGCGACAGTGAAACCGTCACTAATTGTCCGAATTTCCATTGTATTTTTTTACCCCTAATTTAAATATATGAAATTAACCAATTGTTATTTAAAAGTCTACTAAATACTCAAAACATAATATTTTAAAATATTAAAAGGTAATAAATATTATTCAATTGTTAAATTCTTGAAAATAGTATAAAGTTTGTTGTTATTACAATAAAACATGATAGCTAGGAGAAATTGGCGGGACCGTCACTCGGAGGTTGGGTGAAATCATCTAGAGGTTAGGTGGAGTCGTCGTAAGTCTTAGGCACGATGGATGAATTGCCACCTTACCGAAAATGCTTGTCAAAACATCTACTACATTTATGTCATCATCGTATGTTGCTATCGAGTATACTCCTTCAACTCATTTGTTGTAGCCAACAACGATGTGATAGTACCCTACGACAATGTGACAGATACCCGTAGCTCTTGGATCTCCGTTGTATTTGCGGATGTTTGATCATGGACTTTCTTTCATCGTGCCTTATCATTAGTATGAAACCACAAAGTTATCGAGCTTGAGGCTATAATGACGTTAAAGTAATAATGAGATGCATGTGACCCGAGTCCGTACATTCTTTTCCTCTTACTATCTCCTCCACCAATAACCTTCCTAAAAATCTCATTAATGTTGACATTGGTCAATGAAGTCCCCCCGAATGCTGGCTAGCAACCTCATCCTTATTTATTAATCTTTCTATGATCTCCTACATAATTGTGAAAGACATAATATTAAACAAGTATACTAAATAACGTTATAAATTAATATATATGAAATAAAATTATAGATAAACTAATAACTTGCATCGATAATTCTTGATCGTTGAACGATGAAGACATACCGATCATCAACCTTTCTCTTATGAGTCGTCAAAAAAACCTCGTGAGGATTAGGTTCATAACCTAACATCACGTGCTCGAAACCAATATACATAAATGTATTAAATATACTCAAATATTTAATTAATTATTTTGCATATCATTATAACAAAATATTATAAATATATTTACCACGTGTATTGTGGGCTCTCTATAGCTGATCGATCCCCCCATATGTTTGAAGGACCGGCTCCGACACCACTAGACGCCACTAGTCTCGCCTCTGCGATTCCATACCGCTATCTCGGATCGGGCAATGGCCTCGGGTTTTTCCCATTCCATAGTCCATGCATCCCATATGTCCTATGAGATAAATGCTAACTTTGGGATTTTCCCGAGACAACTAAGAAAGTTAGAATACCGACTTACGTGCTAGACTTTCATGCTTTTTTAACTTTGCTTTTATTGATATCATCGCCCCACGTAAATGATTTCTTCAAGAAAAATAATAATATTCATTAGTAAATTTATTTGAATATTATTATTTGCTATTTAAATATGAAGTAATGTAATAAATTAATAAATAAATTAGTACCTTAAACTCTTTGCGGTAGAAGTCTTTTGTCTTCGAACTCATTATCTTTCATGTCCATTCGAAATATGAACATACTCGTGGAATGTCTTATAGATCGTGCAAGCATAAATATTAGAGGGATATAACCTAAGAAAATAGATATTAATTTAAAAAATAAATGAATACATAATTATGGTAATAAAGAAAAAAATGTTTCATAAAATTAAGCGTAAAACGTACTCATTATGACCAATGACAATAACCCTAACTCGTGGATTGAGTATGGATCCGATAGGTTTTGAAGCCAATGGATAAGGGACGTTTTGCAATGGGACGTGTTCGGGAACAGATTGGTTGTCTTGTTGTGATGACGAGGGCACTAATTATGATGAAGGAAAAGGTGGGTGGGGATGTGAAGGTCCATAATAAGCATACGGCTCGAGCTTAGACATGTCGGGCCTCGAATGGTATGTTGGGAGGGCACTAGAAGAGTGGTACGAAATCATGTCTATGGAGGGCCTTTCGACCGGGAAAGGGATGAGAATGGCATCCATGTCTACATCCATGATCACTCGCTCGAATTAGTATCCGAACCGCGACCCTCACCGTATGACATAGCCCACTCGCATCCCGGAACCCGTCCTACCTCAAAGCATTATGACCTACACATTATTACATTCATTAGTACTAAAATAAAATATTCATTATATAATACTAACATATAACATTCATATTGATACGAACAATTTAAAATATATTTATTTAACGAATAACATATATCAAACAATATGAACATACAAACATATATTTAAATGTTACCTTAAAAAGTATATATAAACTATATAGGACAACAAAACCATATACCTAATTTTTTTTCGGAGAACAGGAAATGTTCCTTGGAGATATATTGAAATAACATGAAAATTTACATGAGGGGATAAAACCAGACCTAGCCTAACAACATGAAAGGACAAGGTTACCTAAACCCTTGATTTGCTACTACAATTACATAAAATCCATGTAGACAATTTTTCCATTGAATATAAAAAAATATTATATAATATAATAGGATCTACCATATCGGTAATTAGTATTATGGTCATCATTGTCACATTCTTCATATAAGTCTTCCTCAACATTTGTTTCAAAGTCATTTTCATTCTCTACATTAGTTTCATTTTCTTCCAAATCTAGTAACACTCCAATTGGATCATTCAATGATTGACCTTTGTCATAATCAACTTGGATGACATTATGTTGGCCTTCCATTTTGTTTTCTTGAAAGGGTTCGATATTTGTTTGGTCGATGATAATAGACGATTCTAGCACATCTACCGAGAGCTTGGGTTTTACCTTATATATTGCCAACTAATCGCGTTTGATACATTTCGATGTAGAATATGTTACATAGTACATCCGATGAGCTTGTGATGGTAATATGAAGGGATCGGATCTATTTAATGTCCTATGACTATTGACCTCTATTAGTCCATAATGATCATGAACTCTTGTATCGATACCAGGTGTAGTATCATAACAATCATATTTGAATAAAATAGTTTTCTTGGTTGGTAAGGTAGGATACTCAATTTCGAGTATATCGGTCAACCTACCATAGTAGTCATTTTCTATTGCATTGTAGCTAACTCCATTTACACACACTCTACTACACATTGATACTCTCTCCGAACCATGAACATTAGTGTGGAACTTATACCTATTCACAATGTATTCCGGATATGACTTAGTCTGTTTGTAATGGTCTTTTTGCTAGATTTTTAATGTAATAATCTATTATCGTATTGAGTTATACATTACTTGTCCGTAAAGTTTGGATTCATTACTTAATGTTAGTATAAAATTTTATAAAATTTTTTTCGTAATAATAAAAAATCTT